TATCGGTATTTCTACCTTCCTGTATATAGCTAGATAATCTTCAATAGTACTTGTTTGCCATAAAATGGCAATGCCCTTTAATATTACGATTATTTTCTGGTAAGATGACACTTTTAGCTTCTAAATTGGTCTTACGATCATTGAATATCTTACCAAGCACCGATCTCTTTTTGAGCTTGATTTTTTTATAACCTTCAGCGATATCAAGACCATGATCAACTTCTTCTTCTAAATTATACGACAAATTGCGTAATATACAGACCGAATTTTCGACACATTTACCATCGAAATCTTTACGTTGTACCGATAAATGAGTGACTGTGATGAGAGCATTAATTAAATGATCTAATTTTCTCATCATCTGTCGAGATGATAGATTGGTACTGGATGATAAATTGCGTAATGTACCAGTAGCATTGGCATAAATGGTTGGCCATTGAGTATCGGATAAACTGCCTTCACCAGCTGATATTGAATGATCTTCGATTAATTTAGCTAATACATCCAAGGTTAAATTTAACAATTGTTCTTTAGCAGCTTCTAATGTTGATAGATTCCACAATAGACGTACAATTTCTTCACGAACATGGGGTGAACCGGTTCGCCGCAAGACATTAGCAAGAACTGGTATACCTTTATGGCGAAGGATAGCACCTTTGCTTTCATCATTGGCTTTACCATAAGCTAAATTACGCAAGGTTGCAATGGCACTTAATTGGATTTCTTCATTCTTGCTATCCACCATACGAACTAAATGAAGAATACCACCTAATCGCTTAATTGTTGCTTTCACCCCATCATTATTAAAGCATGCATGTTGTAAATGAACAGCAGCATTAATGGAATGGATTGAATTATCACTCTTGAGCATATTGACTGCATCTTCGATGGTTAATGAATATTTTTGTGAACTACCCACCGATCGAACACTCGACGTTGCACTGGAGATACGGCCATTAACCGATTGCTGCCTTGATGGTCTCTGAGCAACAGAAATATATCCACTACTGTCGAATAGATCATCACCACGTATTCGTGGTCTATTACCACGTTGATCTCGATTAGGCATAGTGGCAGCATAGTAGTTATCTTCTCTTCCATAGGTTCCTGTAGGATGGCTACCAATACCACCATCACCACTTCGTGTACTATTTTTTCGCCTACCACTTGCACTACGATCAGAAACTAAAATAATATGGCCTTGACTCTCTATAGAAAGTTGTTCATGATCAGTATATTGATCTGATTGACGACGATTAACATCATACATGAAATTACGGCTATCGCGAGATGCTGTCCATGGCATGGTATGATAATCAGGTATTCCTTCACCATATCCATCTTGACTGGCTGAACGTTTAGAGCGGCCACCTCTTGCATATTTACTTTGGCCACGCGACGAAATTGATGTCGAATCATAAGCAAAATTACTAATTCGTTGATATTCGCTACTGGATCGTTCACTATTTA